CGTCAGTAAATCGCAAAAAAATTTAAAACCAAACTATACCATGAACTGCCAAAATTGTGCACGAATCTTTTTAGCTATGCCACATCTCTATTAACTATGGCCACATTGACAAAAATGCTGGTAGATTCGCTGAACTTGTGGGTGGTTGAATTTAATTACAGTAATTTAACTCGTAAAAGACATCGATGACCTCCAAATAAGGCCCCAACTTTTATTTCATAAAATTATTTCTTTTAGTATACTCAATTATTTTGACAATTTATTAAAATACCGATCTAAATGGTTTCCAGTTTTTTGAAAACTGTGTCGCTCCATTTTTTTGAAAACCGTACGGCCTACTTTTACGCAAACGTGAATTACAATTGCAACTTTCATGCTTAATTTTGTCTGTTATCTGGGCGGTATACTAGGTAGCTCGTCAAAACTTTAGGTATTTAAACGGATAACTGCATTGAAAAGTCCTTCAAAACAGTACATTTTTTAAGGATTCTTCAGTCAGGGTGGGGCAAAATTGCCAAAGGGCCGATTCTCTCCTTGTCCTCCCCCATGCAGGACAGTATACGATCGCCGAAGGTGTGAGCCGAGGCATAGGCTCGAGTTAGCTAGGGATGGTTTTAAAATTTTGGTCTCTGAAATAGCATTTCGTGCATTCTAAGGACACATTTTTTAAAAAAGTTTTAATCAGGTGAAATTTGTAATAAATTGCATGCTAAACAATCAAACACAACATAAGTTCGGTTCAAACACAACATAAGTTCAGTTACTAGTATGCTGCACCAACAAATTTAGTTTTTTAAACTTTTTTTTCAATGTTAAACTCATTTACTCATACAAGTCCTAGGGACCTGGCTTTGGGGCAATAGGCCATTTTTTTTCAGTTGTGGGGCAGAGGAAGGGGCCCAGTGGGGCAAATGCCCCACCAGTCCACAGTATTAAAAAATGCCTTGCTTCAAAAATAGCACATTACAGTAATGGCATAAAATTAGATTACAACACGACTGGATGTTGTCTTAACAGAGGAAATCATGAAAGTGGCAATTGCACTGTCGCGTTTGCGTAGAAGTAGGCCGCAGTATATACGGAAATTGTCGCATATCTCAACGGGAATTTTAGGTAAATTTAAATGATAACTGCATTGAAAAGCGCTTGAAAACAGCACATCAGTATTATAGCATAAAATTGGATTACTACATGCACAGATAACAGAGAAAATTAAGCATGACTGTTGCCATTGTAATTCGCGTTTGCGTAAAAGTAGGCCGTACTGAAATTGTCATATCTCAACGGGCATTTTAGGTATATGGGCATTTTAAGCATGAATGTTGACTGAAATTGTCATATCTCAACAGGAATGTTACTTTTAGGACCGATAACTGCATTAAAAATCCCTTGAAAAACAGCACATTATAGTGGCATTTCTACATATCCAGATAACAAAGAAAAATAAGCATGAAAGTTGCAAAGGTTGGGATTTTAATTCTGCATGAAAAATACAAATACCACTCTATATGCCTTCATATCCGCATTTTACCCTCTCATCCGTCCGCATTTTACCCTCCTGTCCGT